GTGACCCAGACAAATAGACTGTGATGCTCTTGGATGGCTGAACAGAGATGAATAGTGCTGCTCACTGGAACTTCATAGCTTCACACAAGTTGTCCCACTGCCTTTGGAACCAGACGCTCTGGGGAGCTGGCATGTGACACAAGAGGAGGTGGCCAAGAAAATGCAAAGTACAAATGTCCTTACATCTCAGAGAATATTTTTTTACAGATTTTTTTTTCCTTTTTTAAAATGAACTTTAAACTATGGGAGTTTCTACAAACCACAGTGTGAGAGAGAGAGAGACCAGGCAGCTTCTTCCCACATGTTGTGAATGTGCCAAGTTTCCAAACAATATTGCCAAGGAGCTGGATAACACAAGAGCTTCAGAACAAAGCTAAAGACCATACATGGCTTCTTGTGAGCCTCTAGCCTCATTTTGGTACTAAGGATAGGAGAGACTAGTGCTGTGCCTGCTGCCCTGAACATTGTGTAACCACCACTGCTATGATGGTAATAGCCCAGGCTACTGCACTCATGGTAGTGCTGGACAGTCAGTGTGTGAGCTTCCTGAGCCCTCATGGAACTAGCTGGGGCACTAGGACTGATGTAGTCTGTTAGGGATTAGCCCAGACGTGGTAACCTCTCTAAGGACCAGAGTGTACTCCTCCAGCATACAGCCCGAGAAGCAATGCGCCTGCAGTTTGGTCCACCTGTTCCATGGTCTGAGCTGAGGAGCATCTCCCACAGCATGACCACCAGTGCACTGGAGGGGTTGTGCCTGGCACCCAGAAGTACTGAATGTAGGGATGAGAAATAGACTGAAAGGGAGATCAGAAAAGTCGCTTGGTCCCAGGGTTCTAGTCTTCCTCACTGCTTGTCTGTGACTCATGCTAATGAGACGAACATGCTCACCAGTTCCACGTGTTGACCCAGTAGGCTCAACCTAGTCCTAGCGTAAGCAGGCACCATGCCACTGCCATCTATGGAGCTATACTGGACTGAATTTAGCATGGCTTGGGGAGAGGGCAAGGTGAACTTACTGAAGTGCCTCTAACCTAGATGTTATGTCTGACCCTCTGGTTCTCTGTGGTCACTTGGAAAGCACAGTGAAGGCCTTGTACTTATTTCCTTTCTCTGGCTTGTAGCCATTTTGGTACTCTGAACTGGATCTGTAAATACCCTCAAAATTACAAAGTATTTACATGCTTAAGGGGAATGTTAATTTTGTTTTTCTGAGACAGTACTTCACTTGGATGAGCATCTCCTTGGACACTGTCATCATCACAAACTCCCCAGGCTAAGCACTGCCTGTGTCACACTGCTTCTGCATAGTCTTTGCCCCACTGGGCAGATCAGGGGCTTCTGACTTTTTCAGAAACATCTGGAGTCGCACAGTAACAATTGGCTTTTCCCCAAATTTCCCACTAAGCTGAAATAGTTGAAGGCTCAATCTCACAGCCAGATATACCTTCCTCACCTTTATCTCTGCCGAAAGTGAAACTCCAAATACTCCCCTGAAGCTGAAGCTGAATATCTTCTTCTCAAATTCTCCTGTGTGTGGCTCCAGTTTAGTGACCTACTGCACACTTAAAATCTTAGTGGAAATCCTGAACTGTTTCCACAGCCCACAGAAGAGCAGAGCAAAGGACCCAAGTGGCCAGGGCCCCCAGTGGATGAGCACCAGGATGAGGAAACCAAACAGCGACCATGCTCTGTAAATTGACCAGCCCCTCTGGCAGCGTTCCCTCTTTCCAAATTGAATGGAACCAAACTCAGGCTCTGCCCTAGTCCCTCCCACCCTTGGCCTGAGTTTGTTTCCATTCTCTCAGAGAGGACTAAAGGAGTTCCCCTCTCTCCGCATCTAAGCAGGGCTTGAGGTAATGCTTGCTTCCTTGGGGCTCAAAGGGGAGGGATTTCTCTCCATTCCCCCAGCCATGTCTCCCCAACTGAGCACATGGGGAGTGTCTTTGGTTTCCTCTTACTCACTTGTCCCCCCACCCCCCCCATGGAGCCAGGAATAGCTCCAGTGCTGAATGACACCACCCCTACATTCAGACCATGTACAAAGTGCAACTTTGACTGCCAATCCACTCATTTTGTCTGGAACTGCTGATCGCATGGAGACGGCTAGACTCCAGCAAAGAAATACGGTGTCTCTACTGTGTGTGTTAACTGGAGGCGCCAGCTAGATGAGTCTTGTTGGGCTGAGCCCTGTGCAGTCATACAATTAAAAAAAAAAAAGCACCGGCCCCAGAGAATTTACAAGCCTAGGTTCAGGCAAAACTTAACAGGTGAAACGAATGTGCGAGGGAGGACGGATGGGTAAGAGTGATGATGCCATCTGTGCAGTGCCAAGCAAACCTCCCGGAGTTGGGGAGCATGAGATTCAAAACTCTTTTGGCATCTGTCTTTATAACTTTTCCAACCAGACACCAAGAGCTGGCAGACTTTCCTCTGCTGTTTGTGGCCCAGCAGTGTCTTTGCTTCTCCCAGATTTTGGAAAATCTTTTATCTGCGCTCTCACAAAGTCCTATCAGTCAATTTGAGAGGAGGGGAATTCTCTTGTTTATCCAAGATTTACATTAACCTGAAGTCAGATGTTCGTCTCTGTCACCAACCCCTCCCCACCAACTTTTGGCTCCTGCTTGATTCATCAGCTTCTCCCTTTGAATTTGCCTGCCAGAACATGATGGCGACACAGGTCAAGGAGTGTACATCTTTGTCTGCATACCTTGACCAGGACTGAGGTGGGGTGTAGGTACCATTCAGTACTGGAGATAAGATTTCTTGTTTCTCCAGGGACGTGCGTGTGATTTACCCATATAACAATAATATTAACAAAAAGAAGTCATTTAAAAAACTGCAAAAATGGTGTCAAAAGAAAATAAAGTAACATCTCCAGTGACCTGTCTCATAAGCTAAAAAGGATACGACATTCTCAGCTTAGTCACAGTGAAAACAGAAAAGATGATAGCATACATTTCTCCTACGATCTGTCACCATCAAGCTGTCAAATACCAACTCCCTCTTGCTGTATCCTGGACCTACTTTTTAACGTCCCTATGACTGTCAGTTTGCAGGTTCAGACATGCCCCTTCTCGTCTCTCCATTCGAGCCTCTCCCACATGGTAGAGTCCACTACCTCAACAGGGTGAGGTTTCATTAATGCTTGCACAAAAGTCTTTACTAATTCCTGTTGGGGGGGTGGTAGATTCCTAATTACCTCTGGGCGGTTCCATCCAGCCTTCCTGACTCCACAGTAGTTGTGTCAAAAGCCCCAGGGATTTTTATTTCCTTAGATCACCTTTGGATATGTACCATGTTCCTACAGGACCTAGCTTCTGTAGGCGCTTGGTCATGCCCTCCTGCTGTATACACCTAGTCTCTGTCTCTGCAGGGCACAGAGATAGCTCTTTACATTTGTTTTATTAATTTCTCTCGCCGTGAAACATAACTTGTTGACAGACCTTAGATCCTCTCTCTCAGATATGAAGTGATCTTTGCGTGGGGGAAGAGAGGGAGAAGTTAGCTTCCAGCTGTCAGAATAGGGGAGGACAAACTGAAATGGTAATCAGTACTGAGATATAAATTGTCATCAATAGATTTCAGTTAACCCCCCTTTGTGATGAATAGGGGTTCCTGGCACCTTACATGATGGAACCCTACATTTTGTCTCTCCAGCTTTAGATTCAAGCTGGCCACAGGTTTGGGGGTCACATTCAGAAGTTTTTCTTTATAACCATAAGCGCTTAAAAAATGTATAATGAAAGCTTAAATTCTGCAGAAGCTGACAGGGTCTGGTTCAGTGAAGCACCATTTGCTGCCTCAGTCTGACCCCTGGTTGCTGTTAGATGTCACTTTTTGATGCCTTTCTCCCTGGGCTGATTTCTCTGGCTTTCCAGGACACCAGGGGCATTGCTTGGCTATTTCTGCTCCTTTGGCGGTGGGAGGGCTGTACGTACACGTCTTCTCTTGACTGACTTAATTTTGTATTTTCCGGTTTGTTGTGGCCTGGCCAGCCCCATGTACACATCCTGCCCCTTCTTTTTGAGTTCTTGGAGCTCCCAGCATGCTCTCTTTCTCAACAAATTGGAATTAATAATTAATATAAGAAGCTTGAAAATATGAATGTTGTCACATAGTGTAATAACTGTAGATACTATTGTGAGATGTAGGAATCTATTGGTGAGACAAGGTTATGTCTGTAAATAATCAGTTTAGAACCCAAATGATTTTAATAAAGAGAGAATTCTTACATGAGTGATTCAATAAACATTAATATACAACATGGAATGGGTGTCATGGTTTTGTGTCTTAAAATAATTTGGCTGCTACTTATGTTCCAGAATATGCTGCCCCTGGCCCAAGTGCCAACTCCGCAGCTCTCATGGGCCGGGAATTGCGGTGCAGTGCGGTGCCTGCAGAGACCCCATAACCCCCTGCCTAGGAGTCACTGCCAGATATGTGCCAGTCACTTTTGGGAGCTTCCCAAGATAAGTGCCATCCCCTCTCCTACACCCTGCTCCCCAGCCCTGAGCCCCCTCCAGTGCCCAAACTTCTACACCCCTCAGCTCACCCCACCCCACCCCTAGCACCCAAACTACCTTCCAGAGTCCACACTCCCTCCCACACCCAAACTCCCAGCCCAGAGCCCACCCCCTCCTGCACCCTAACCCTCTACCCCAGCGTGGTGAAAGTGAGTGAGGGTGGGGGAGAGCGAGTGATGGAAGAAGGGGCATGGCCTTAGGCAAGGGGGTGGGGCAGGGGCTGAGTGGGAGGAATTGGGGGTCCCTGAAAAAAATTATATCAAAATAGGCGTCCTTGGGGCCAAAATAGGGGCTAAAGTTTGAGAACTGCTGGCCTGAGGTACCAATCCTGAAAGTTTCTTCGGGGGGTTGGATGGACCCCTGCAGCTGGGCAGAGCCCCCCACTCCTGTCCAAGGTGCTGGGGGGGAATGGGGTCCCTTTAAACTACGGCATGCAGTTCCTTGTAGAAGCAGCAGCTCCCTGTTGCTGAAAAGCCTGCTGAAGTTCCCTGGCTTTCACCAGGCACGGAGGCTCAGCCCCGTCGTGCCCAAGCCTTGCATCCGCTTGCAAGCTGCAGGTAGCTCTGTTCCCTCCGTCGCTCCTGGGCTGGTTTGCGCCGGGGCCTCGAGGACCCACGAGGTGTGTTCTGCTGCGGGCAGCGGCGGGGGCGCCTCTGCCCAGGCCGGGCCCGCTTGGGCTAGGCGCCGGGCTCGCCACGGCGAGCAAGCCGGGGCAGGCGTTTCGGGACCCAGGCCAGCTGGGGCACGGGGGGGCGGCCGGTCGCGGCCGGGGGCCGCTCAGCCCGCTTGCAGCGCCTGCCCCGGCACTTTGGCCTTCTGCGACCGGGGGGGTCAAGGCAGCGGGGCGGCGAATTCCCGCGCAGGCGCAGCGACCCCAGGGGCGGCCCGGCTGGAGCCGCGCTCGCGCCCCAGGCCGCCGGACGGGCTCGCGTCACGTGGCGCGTTGCCGTTGACAACGCCCCTGGCGCCAGGGCTCGCGCTGCCGCCGCTGAGGCGAGGGGCGGCCGCCGTCGGGCCCCGCCAGCGGGACCCGGCCCGTCGCTTGGCCCTGGCGCGCTCCGGTCACAGCGGCCCGAGCGGCGGAGACCCCGAGGGCCGGGTCAGGCCGCGCCGCCGGCAGCGGGGGGAAGCGGCGCGGGCGGGGGGCTCCGATCCCCAGGCCTCAGCCTTGTACCTCGCCTCGGGGCGCCGCGGCCCTGGCGTGGAGCGGCGGCCTGGGCGGGCTCTGGGCCCAGCAGTGCGGCAAGAGCCCCGCGCCTGGCGCCCGGGCAGGTCCTGCAGCTCAGCGCTTCGTGGGGCCGCGCCTCTGGCCGTCGTGGCTGAAAGCCGCTGCTGGGCTGCCCCACGGCTCCTCCGGCTCTCTGTGGCCAGCCGCACGCGTGTTGCGAAGCAACAGTCCCCTTGGTGCGGCATAAACCTGCTGCCTGTTACATGACGGGGGCCCTGGTTCGTGTGTTCTGAGGAGGTGGGAGTAACATTTCCTGCTTCGCTGGGTCCACGCTATTCGCATCCCCCTTCGCTGTCTCATTTCCACAGCGAGCCGGCCCAGTTCTGTTCATGTCTCCACAAATGGAAGCTGTTCCATATCCCTCATCATTTTTGTTGCGCTTCTCTGTATTTTTTCCAGTTCTAATATATCATTTTTGCGACGGGGCAATCAGAACTGCATGCAGTATTCAAGATGTGGTTGTATCATGAATTTATATGGTGGTATTATGATATTTATTGTCATCTTATCTTGCCCTTTCCTCATGGTTCCTAACATTCTATTAGCTTTTCTGACTGCCGTTGCAGTCAGCAGATGTTTTCCAAGAACTAGCCTCTATGACTCCAAGAGCTTTCTTGAGTAGTAACGGCAAATTTAGTCCCATCATTTTGTAAATTGGGATCATGTTTTTCAATGTGTGCATTTATCAACATTGAACCAGAGGGACAGGAAGACCCGGTGCCCCTGCAGACATCTTCCTCATTCTCCCCGGATGAAGTGGTGGTGGGCGCTTCCACCACACCACCTGCCATGGACAACAGGGCATACCAAGAGTTGCTCAAGAGGGTGGCTCAAAACTTAAGTATTCAGGTGGACATTCTCGTCCCTGAAGGTCCTTTGAGTGTGACTTTGCCCCTCATTAAGATGATCCATAACACCACTAACCCATGGCAAAAGAGGTCGAGAGAAAATACTTTGTGCCCTCTAAGGGATATGAGTGCCTGTTTACTCATCCTCAGCTGGGTACTCTGGTAGTGAAGGCGGCCAGCCAGAAAGAAAGGCAGGGACAACCGGGGCCGACTCCTAAATCCAAAGAAGTGAAGATGTCTCTTTGGTAGGAAGGTGTATTCTACTGGGGGGGCTTCAGCTTCGCATTGCCAACCAGCAGGCAGTGCTTAGCCGCTATCGTTATAATTCCTGCAACAAGCTGACCAAGTTTCAGAAACTGCTTATGGCAGTCTCCCGCTCGGAGTTTGTGGCTGTCCTGAAGGAGGGCAAGGTCATCATAAGGACCTCCTTACAGGCCTCCCTGGACTCAGCGGACTCAGCAACCCAGACAATGGCAACTGCGATAGCCATGAGATGGAGGTCATGGCTTCAAGTGTCAGGGCTCTCACACAACATCCAACACACTATCCAGGACTTTCCTTTTGACTGTTCAGGACTCTTCTTGGAGCAAACACATAAGAGGCTCCACAGCCTGAAAAACTCATGGACAACCCTGAAGTCCCTGGGGGGTTCATATGCCAGCCCCCCAAAGAAATCCTTTTAAGCTGCAACCTGCCCATTGCTTCTATTCAGCTCATCCTTGGCAGGACTATAGCAGGAAGCGGGACAGGAATAATATGCAGAAGCCCTCTCAGTCCTCTAACCAGAGCGAAGGCACAGCAAAGCAGCCCTCAGCCTCCAAACCAAACTTTTGAAGGTGTGCCCAAGGACGACTCACCAGTTCAGATCCCAGATTCTTCCCCTCCCTTTGTGAATCATCTATCTCATTTCTACCATGCCTGGACTCAAATCACCTTCGACCAATGGGTCTTGAGTCCAGTAAAATTGGGATAGTCTCTCCAATTCTGTTCCCTCCCACCTTCCTATCCTCTTCAGGGACCCTTCTTATGAACAACTTATAGTGCAGGAGGTGCAAATGCTCCTACAATTCAGGGCGGTGGAAAGGGGTTCGACTCCCGGTATTTCCTAATCCCCACGGCCAAGGGTGGGCTCAGGCCTATTTTAGACCTGTGAAACCTAAACAGATTCATGAAGAAATTGAGGTTTCGCATGATCTCCCTGGCTTCCATTATTCCCTCCCTGGATCTGGGGGACTGGTACGCCACCCTTGACTTGAAGAACACGTACTTTCAAATGTCCATAATCCTGTCGCACAGACAGTTCCTCCATTTCATGGTCAACAACACCCACTATCAGTTTATGGTCTTTCTCTTTGGCCTCTTGGCAGCCCCTCAGGTGTTAACTAAGTGCATGGCGGTCATGGCAGCCTTCCTGCGGAAGTGGCAAGTGCAAGTATTTCCGTACCTGAATGACTGGCTAATCAAGGGTCGCTCCCGGGCCCAAGTGGAGGCCCACGTGATCTTGGTGCAGATGACATTCCACAGGCTCAGCCTTATTTTGAACATGGCAAAGTCAATCATAGCCCCCACTCAGAAAATAGAGTTCATCAGTGCTCTCCTAGACTCTGATCAGGCCAGGGCATTCCTCCTGGAATCTCTCTTCCTTGCCATGGGCACCATCATAGAAGATCTCAGAAGATTCCTCACTACTATGGCGCAAAATTGCCTGAAACTGCTCGGACATATGGCTCCTTTTACGTTTGTGGTACAGCATGCCAGGCTGCATCTCTGTCCCCTTCAGGCTTGGCTAGCCCAGGTATAGCCCAGGCCAAACCAAGACTGCCTAGACAAATTGGTCACACTCACTCCTCAAATCCTTGAGTCCCACTGGTGGTGGCTCGACCCACAAGGACTATGTGCAAGAATACCCTTCTCCAGGCCTCAACCATTGCTGTCCCTAGTCACAGATGCGTCAGTGATGGGATGGGGGGCGCACCTAGGAAGACTCAGGACCCAAGGTCTCTGGTCCCAGGCAGAACTTTTGCTGCACATCAACGTCAGGGAGCTGCATGCGATTCGCCTCGCTTGCCAGATGTTCTAAACCCATCTACATATGTGTATTGGTATTGACAGACAATACCACAGCCATGTTCTATATAAACAGACAGTGTCATGCTCGCTCCTCTCACCTGCGTCAGAAAGCTCGCAAGCTGTGGAACTTCTGCATCACCCACTTGATACATTTGGAGTCTTCCAGGCTCGCAGAACGAATTGGCCGATCATCTCAGCAGGTCCTTTTAGGGCCACGAGTGGTCCCTCCACCTGGATGTTGCCATCAACATCTACCAAAGGTGGGGATTTCCCAGATAGCACTGGTCACAACATGGTGTAACAGCATGTGTCAGCAGTTCTGTTCCTTCCCATGGTGGCCTGGGCTTGCTCGTGGACGCCTTTCTCTTCCCTTGGAAGGGGCACTTGCTGTATGCGTTCCCGCCCTTCCCGCTCATTCACAAGGTCCTGTTGGAGGTCTGACAAGAGGGAGCAGCAATAATCTTGATAGCACCAGCGTGGCCACGTCAGCCACTGGTTCACCACGCTTCTAGACCTGTTGGTGGACAAGCCTATAACTCTGTCCCTGGTCCGGACTTCATCACGCAGGACCAGGGCCGCCTACAGCATCCCAGTCTAGAGTCTCTCAACCTCACGGAATGGAAACTCCATGACTAATCCCATTAGAGCTTGCATGCTCAGACTCGGTTAGGGAGGTTTTCCTTGGCAGCAGAAAGCCATCCACTCGGGCCACTTATCTAGCTAAGTGGAAGAGGTTCTCGATTTTGTCGTTGCAGAAGGGCACTCCTCTGTTACAGTCAGCAATTCCCTTCATCCTGGACTGTGTACTTCACCTAAAACAGCAAGGCCTGACAGTATTGTCAGTAAAGGTGCACCTGGCTGCTATTTTGGCTTTCCCAGCTCAGCTGGACAGTCAGTATTCGCTAATTCCATGGTTGGCCGCTTCCTCAAAGGGCTAGATAGACTGTACCTTCAAGCAGTGTTCCCTCTAATTTTTTACATCCATGTGCGGAATGAATTTTGTTATGTGCACCAATATGGAGGTAATGTGTGACACATCACCTTCATATTGGGGCACATGACAAAATTCATGTGGTGGGGTGGGGCCGAGGGGTTTGGAGTTTGGGATGGGGCTCAGGGCTGGGGTGGAGGGTTGGGGTGCAGGGGGGGGTGGGGGCTCAGGGCTGGGGGTGCAGGCTCTAGGGTGGGGCTGGGGATGAGGTGTTTGGGGTGTGGGAGGGTGTTCAGGGCTGGGGTAGAGGGTTGGGGTGGGGGGGATGAAGGCTCTGGGATGTGGGCTGTGGGGTGGGACCAGGGATGAGGAGTTCAGGGTGTAGGCTGTCCCATGGCTGTGGTGGGGAAAGGACTCCCCCCAGCCCTCTCTCTCTCTCGCCGCAGCAGGTCAGGGCAGGGGGAGAGGCGCCTCTCCCTG